CTGCTCGGCTTCGTGCATCTTCCTTGGATCTTCTTCCTTCATCTTTCAACATCTCCAATTTTTCCGATCTCGTTTTAAACATGTCTGGGTCAAACGAACGCGAGGAATCTGTCTCGGCTGGTTCCGATGATTCTCCACGTCTGGAATACTCGCCACGATGGGATGGAGAGTCATCCAGTGATCACACCGTCGATTCGGTTCAGCTGGTGAGGAAGAACAGAAGGGCTTCTTCGAATCGGGGTGGTGGCGCTTCTGGTTCGGGACGGTCCCCTGGATCGACCTCCCGTCCCCTGACGGGCTCGTCTCCGCGGCCCCAGGTCGTAGGTACTTACCGAGCTGGGAAGAGTTTAGCCTTAACTCCCAGCTCGACTGATCCCGAGTATGAAACTGCCCAATTCGAACTGGGGGACGACGATCGTTGTCCTGGTCCCGGGCTTGGGGATGGGGTAGTTCCCCAGCCAAAAGACAACCTGCCGACGCAGTCGGACGAGAGCACGCTCAGGGCTCTTCGAGCATTGTACGACATTCCTTCAGATGTCGTCTTCCGCATTCCGTCGAAGGGTGATCGTCCCTGGACGCCTCCTCCGGGGTTCATGTGTCTGCTCGAGTCCTTCTTCTATGAGGGGAAGTTGTGGTTCCCCCTCCCGAGAGTTTTAGTCGAGTACTGTGCTCGGCGGAAGATCGCCATATCGCAGCTGTCTGTTGCGGCGATCCGCAACCTGGTCGGGGTGTTAGTCATGGCTGCCGAGCTTGGCAGGAGGGTGTGCTGTAACACCCTTGAAGAATTGGCGAAGATTAACCGACTAGGAAAGGTCGGGAGCGGTCGGTTCTACCTTAGCCTGAAGAACGTTCTTCTGGCTTGTCCTCCGGGGAATAAGACCGTGAACTGGGAAGCTCGCTACTTCTACGTGAAGATTGACCGAGCTTCGGTGGGATACCCGGACTGGCCGATCCGATCTGGCTGGAACGTTAACATTGGTACTAATTCTCTTCTCGTATTCTGTTTGAGCTTTATAGATTGATGCCCGACTTATTTTGTTATTCTTGTATTCTTGCAGCTCGGCATTTTACCCTTCGCGCCTTCCCGGATGGTTTTGTCGATTTGAGGGATCGGCTATCCTCACTTCAATACCAGTGGTGGCCCGAGAACTTTCCCGCAGAGCGGGTTCGCCGAGCTGTCGCTCGCATACAATCGGGTAAAATTTTCGATCTATTTTCCTGACTGGGTGCGTACGACCTCGTTGTTTCTGACGTTACTCTTTATT